GATTGGTGCGGGGAGTGAGCTGCCTACGTTAACCGCTAAGGGAGATACCCGGCAATAAAGGAGCAAATTGAGGGCATTTATAGGTCAGAGGAGATGGATCTTTTCCCCAGCGCACATCCAGAAAATTAAGAATCGTTCCAGACTATCGACAAATAAAAGTTTCTCCACAGCATTTCATTTCCACAAGAAATGACTCAGCTGGCCAAGTCCACACCAGTCCCCAAATCTTCATCTCACATAGACTGAACCAAGGAGGGAGACCCCGTGAGCATGGGGGGACATTCAAACAGCCCACAGGCGCTCACAAGAGCATTATGAACACACGGGAGCAGGAGAGCATGGCAAGAACAACCACATACCGTGTGTATTAGCTACGCTGATTGCTGACAAGGCTTTTACACGAGGACTTAAAACTGAAGAGACGCTGCTACAGAAGGCATCTAAATAAAACCCTCCCTTTTAGCGTCTGCACACGACTAACTTGGAGAAAGGGGTTAAAAATAGTAAGTGGGTTGGCGAGCTCCCCACCCCTTGATTTGATTAAGCGAGGAGCCCTGGTGACTTCTGCATTGGAGCTGCTGTGCTGCTGCTGCTGCTGCTGCTGCGAGTGCTTTCAGTAATTCAATGATGCCTGCTCACTCCAGGGAAAGAAATCATTAGCGGGCTCACTGGAGAAGTATTAGCAGTCCAAGAGGATCGGCGCCGTGTGCAGCCAGAGAGGCAGGTGAAAGGTAACCACGTTTTCACGTCCAGTGGCAGAGAGGGAAAGGCTTTTCCTCCCCTCTACCTTGCCTAATGCCACCTCCGCTGGCATTAAATTCTAGTTTGCTGCATGAGCAAAGTGTCAGGACAAGCTGCGTTTTATTAACAGGATTATCGCGGCGCATGATTTATTCCAGTGCAAGATTTTAATTGCTCTTCGGAGGTTGAGTCGTTTCTTTTGACTGAGCTTCAGCCTGCATCCTGCTGCTAAATGCTGGGTTAATAAGTAGGGGGAGCCTTTAATGCACAGGATATCCCTCAGCTCTTCCTCTCTCACAAAAATAGAAGCCTTTAAGCGGGAGGCATGATACTCCTTTTACACACACACAAGCCAGTAACGGGCGATTGACCACTGGGAGTTTAATGCCTAACGTCTCCCAAAGCATCCATGCTTCCCCAGCAAACTCATTTCCTTTGTCAGGCTACAAAATATGCAAATGATCACTTTGGCATTTAATAGGGAAGAAGCCCAGATTGGGCCTTTAACACAATACTTCACACACGTTCAGAGAGGTTTAAGAACTGAAACGGCAGGAAAGCCTTGTTCCCCAACACTTTTTTCTCCCCTCAGAGAGGCCTTTTGTGCAAAACTCCACGTCTGGAACAAATGTATATTAATGAAACAGCGCGTTGACCCTCCTTTCTCCACAACGGTTAGCTTTTCCTAATGAAGTCCGCACAAATCGCCGCGAGGAAACAAAAATCCACGGAGGTTAGTTACCGCGCTATCATTCAAAAGGAGTTATTTCACTGGAAAGACGTTTTCTGGACAGATTTACTGGTTTCCAGATGCGCCGCTCGTAATGTTTTCAATAGAGGCAGCAGCAGCATGGAGAGAGTGATTTAGGGTTTTACGTAAGGTTAGCAGCCACCCCGTGCGCCGCCTCATCTGTAAGGGACAGACACCGGCTCAGCCTCACGGCACAGTCCCGGCTCTCTGTGCCCAGCTTCCCTTTGGGGCCACGGCTCCTCAGAGGGGCTGCCTGCGCTGGAAATGTATCATTAAGATAAGGCGAGGTGCCTGAACTAGAGCCCATCAATCCCCTGACACGTGCAGATAGCGAAACGCTGAAGTTGCATGGGGGGAGTGAGAGCTTCCCCAGCCAACAGCGGGTAATCTGGAGGCCCCATGTCCCACAGCCACCACCACCCGAGCAAGGGCAAAACCCGCCCGGCCGCAGGGATGTGGTGGGATGTCCCAGGGCCACCAGGCAGGTCAGAGCCCTGGCCCCCGAGGCTGCCAGCCCCTTCCCCGAAGCCACCCCTCGCCGCTGGGTGCGCGCGTGTGTGCAGCTATAATCATCGCCGCCCTGATGAACTTCTTGTGAACTGTTTAAAAGTGGAGGTCTGCTGAACGAGCAGCGGCGCCACTGCCAGCCATAATTTCATTGCAACAAGCAGCAGACTTTTAACTCTTCGCACACCCTCTCCCTCCCCCCACTCCTCTCCCTCCCCACCAGCAGCTGCCGGTCGGGGATACCGGCTCACAGAGGCTCGGCCAAACGCCGGCAGCGCCACAAGCGCTCTGCGCTGCGGGGACGGGGGGGACAGCGGAGGGGGCGTGGGGGGCACCGCACCTATTTATACACCCGGCTTCCGCGGGGGTGGGCGCAGCCGCTCCCGTTATGCAACCCCGACGGCGGGCTGAGCGCCCCAGCGCACGGAGGAAACCGAGGACACGTCTCTCCCTCCCTCCCTCCTCCTGTCACCCACCGGGCCACCGCCAGCGCGCCCCAGGGCGCCGCAGCCCCCCCGGCCGCCCCCGCTGCGCTGCGCGGCGGGGCGCGGAGCGGGGCTCGGCAGCCGGAGCGCGCACGGCATTTCCTCCGGGAGGTGTCTGGCCGATAAAGCCATTTGCGGCTAAATATAGACGGTGATGCACGGAGGAGGGAGGGAGGGAGGAAGGGAGGGAGGGAGGCGCGGGGTGGGTGGAAGAGAGTGAGACGCGCAACGCACACGCGGTTCCGCAGCGATGCCGCCGTGTGAAACCAGTTGTGAAAAGCGCCTGCAAGCACTAACCTGCCTCCCGGCGTGCTGCCCAGCGGGGCCCCGGCGTGCCGAGCCGAGCCGTGCCGTGCCGTGCCGAGCCGTGCCGGGAAAACCCACCCACCCACCTCCCGCGCTGCCCGCGCCCCGCCGGCCCCGCGCCGCAGAGGCAGGCACAGGCACACACCGCACTGCTCGGGCAGCTGATTAAAAAGGGAAACGTTTGGGTCTCCCTCGCAACGTCAACAGACTTTTGGCAGCCATTGACGCCAGCAGCAGCAAAGTTTTGTTAACACGCTGCTGGCGTGGAAACGAGAAAAACCCGATGCCCGCGGGGAGGGGGAGAAGGAGGAAGAGGAAGACTCCACTTCTCCGTGCCTCCGGGGGAAAGAGGAGGCGATGGCAGCGCCACCCGGGACAGGGCAGCCTGCTCTCCCCCCTCCCTCTCCACCCCCATGGCCCCGGGGTGCCTGCCGGCGGGTTTGCGAGGGGAAAGCCTCGGCGAGGGGCGTGGGGGGCGCCCGGAGGAAGCCCGGCGGGGCCGGCGGCTGCAGCGAGCCAGGAAGCGGGCCGGGAGGAGAATTGCAGCGGCGCACGAGTTCCCTTTTGGCGCCTTTACTCTTTTCCACCTCCGAGCTCCGCCTGGCAGCCTGCCAGTTTCCACTGCACAAGCCACGGAGCCGGCAGCAGCAGCAGCGGCAGCGCAGCGGCAGCCAGCGGGGAGGGCTACGCGGGGTTTAAAAAAAAAAAAAAAAACTCTGCGAGAGCCGATGGCACCGACGGAGCGCCGGGAGCTTCGGCAAACAAGCCAGCCTTTCGGATATTAAAAGCGATGCAATAAATTACCGGCCTCTGATCCCTCCCCCACATCGCCCCCCCCGGGC